TTTTTAATTATAACTTTTAAAGTATGAATTTTTTATTGAGACTTGAAGTACACAACACTGTTGATAGCCTGTGTATCTGTGTTTCTTTCAACTAGTTCCCATTTACCTGGTGTTGTAGCTGTGGTCCTCCAGGCCCTGGAGGTCCTGTTCTGGGAGGACCAGCATTTGGGGCTTGATGAGGGTGCTGGTATGGACCAGGCTAAAAACAAAATATAGTTTATGATTCAATTTTGTCATAAGATGTCACTGTAATGAAAATATTGAAATGAGAAAAAAATATATATGAGTATATATGAAAAGTCTGTCTTAAAAATATAATACTAAATATAATTTTTTTTACTGATAGAAGCAGGAAATAAACAAAACAACAATTCTTAGATATTACACAACTCTTTTCCTGCGAGATTGCTACTATTATTTTTCAACTTGCAAAAAACTTGCAACAACTTAAAATTCGATCCCTTCATTGAAAAAAGCTTCTGCATGTTAAAAATTCCATTGTGATTGTTCTTTTCACAGCACCTGATATCCCACATGCTGAGTAGATGACATGGGTTGCTGCATGCCACCAGGGGGACCCTGCACACTGCCAGGAGGAACCCCAGCCATGAGCTGCTGAGGTGGCTGATACGGTTGTGGCTGTGGTTGAGATGAAGGTGCTGGGTACAGAGGGGGTCTGTGATGCACTGCCTCTTGTGGGCGTGCCGGCTGCGGCCCCGCCCCTGATGGCATCCCAGGTCCGCCCAGGGTCATCCCAGATGCCGCCAGTGGCTGTCCCGCTAGAGAAGTGGGTGTGTCCCTGTCCCATATTAACCTGGCCTCGGGACGCACTGTGACTGTCCCTCGGAAATGTGGGTTAATGAGAATCTTTCTTGGCTGGCCTGGAACAGGGCGTGGCATAGGCACCCCAGGAGTCTGGAGCAAGGGTGTGGCTTGGTTGGCCCCTAGTACATGTATGAGATGTGAGTATGAAACAAATATGAAGTTCTTTTCTGTTTCTGTCATTAAACTACATAACTGTGAATGTTCTTGCAAGTTTTACTTAAAATCTCTCTTTAGCAAGTACTGGAGTGTCAATAAAATTCATAGGGACTTAATCAGTCAGAACCACTCTGATACAGCTTTGAATTGAGAATAGACCACTTGTATAATCTTTGCCCTTAAACTCAATGAAACCTCTAAATATGTAAATTTTTCAATGAAGTAAGAAATTTAATGTTCAAACAACTCCAAATGAAACAGATGTAAATCTAGCCATAGCTCTCATACCAGGGCGTGGCATGGAGCCCTGGGCCCTTGGGGGTGTCCATCCTCGTCCCCGGGGTCCAAACTGCTGCTGTTGCTGATGATGTTGTTGCTGCTGAGACTGTTGCCCTTTACCCCTCTGATGTTGCTGCTGGTTTGGTTTTTGGAAGCGTTTGCCTCTTCCCTTGTGGTGAAGAAATTCTTCTATCTTGTCTTGTTCTTCTTTGCTGATCTCTTTAACAGAGCAAACTTTATATCAATATGCATATCACTACAAAGATGATGTTTTGTATCTAATCATTTATAAACAGCCAGTTCAAAGTATGAGATTCAGTAAAAAAAAAAAGTCATGGTATGGACACGTGTCAACTGCAATGGTCTGAGACAGACAGACACAGTAAATCAAAACTAACCCAGCGTGTCTGGGATCTCAGTCCTTGATCTGGAGGTGGCATTGGAGTGACCACCGGAACTGGTCAACTTGATCATTTTCCTCTCCGTCTTAAACCGCCCCCTTCTCTCCTCCTCATCACTCTCGCTCTCCTCACTCTCGTCCTCTGCATGCTGCACGCTGTCCTCATGCATGTCCGAGACAGTCGTGTCGGCCTGTTCTCCTGCAGGTTCATGCTCCTAAACAAAGATTCATCAAATTTTGATAGCTGTCATCATGGTAATTTTTCTTTATTAAGAAACTGTAAAGAAAATATCCTGATACAAATATATGTACAAGCTGGGGTAGCACTAACACTTGCAAATTTAGCCAAATGCTAAAATTGACTTAAGTTGGCTAAACAAAAGATGGTTGATTTAACTTGTTTTGTTGAATTGCCCCCCTGTGAACTTGATTTTATTGGACCTTTATCTCTCTCATAGGTTTATATGTATGTGCATGCAAGCATGAGTGAATACACGCACATACATACACAAATATCTCAAACAAAACTCTTTAAAGACAACCATGCTAGTTGAGTTTATCATAAACAAAAAAAAAATTTTTTTCAATTTCCTAAAGACAAATTAAAATTCAAACAACATCAAAAGTGTACCTCTTGTTCTTGGATGTCAGGCTCTGCAGTTTTTGGTCCTAGCCTGGATTTAGCGCTTCGACGTGTACTTGATTCAGGGGCCTGGAAATTAAAAAGGGCATGAGTGATTATATATATTCTATATATACTCTATACAGTACTTTATTCATTTTGGGTCAGATTTTTTGTATTACAGCAGACCAGTGTGCTATCAGAAAGTTTATTTTAAAACGTTTTTTGAGACTTAACGGGAAAATAGAAAGTGATACCCTCACATAAAATTTTTTTTTAGAAGTAATGCAACATTTACCTCATTCCAGGCTTCCTTTACAGTACTGGTGACCACATCATCTCCCTGCATGTCACCCTCTGTGTCATCCTGCGTTTCGTCATGTGTGTCTATCCCTGTGTCATCTAGGTCACCCCCTGCTGAGACGTCAATGTCAATGACATCTTCCTCGATAAGGTCCTCCTCCTCCTCTTCCTCGTTCTGGGCTGTGAACTCATCAGTTATGGGCCTGCAATGTCCATTACATTTAAACTTATTCCATGCAAGAAAAACAAAAAACATATATCTGGTTGATTTTCAAACTGGAACTAAGTTTTAGCCCTCAGAAGAATTATGTAAGTTTGAGAATAATGAGCTATGCAGTTTTCCTTTTGTGATGCAAATGAGGAAAGCGCATGGCTATGACATTGCTAACGAAAATGACAACATTAAAGAGGACCACAGATGAAGGTGATAGCTAAATGTCCAAACTCAGCATATACATTTGTACCCATGATAACAGAATTATATAATTTTACATTTGCAAATAATGAGGTCAATATAAAGTCATCAACCAAACTGTGCATAGTGTATTGGTCCAAGGATACAACAGAACTAAATTCTAAGTAAAAACTCAACTCACTCTATCTCCACAAAGTCTTCATCAGGCGGTGCTGACTCTTCCAGGTCATCTGCAGTCTCATCTGTTATAATAATAATAATAATAATAATAATAATAATAATACTATGTATGTTGATTTAAGTTTCAAACCCCCAGTTTCTAGATGACTTTATAGCCTAATAACAGTAAATATAATACATTAACCTCAACTTGACTTTCAATATGATTTCAAATAGGACTCTTAATGCATCTTAAATATCCCCAGTGCACCAAATCTCATGAAAAAAAGGCATAATAAATATCATAAATAATGATTAATAATATAATTCTTCTTGTTATTGCCATTATTATTTATTTGCCTATTATATAAAATAAACACTATAAAACAGCTTCTGAAATTCCTTGAAATATTTCTTATTAAAAGAAAAACTAAAACAGTTCCCACCTTTCCCACTGGCATCTTTATCAGTGTCATCACCCAGTCCTAGGAGGGCATCTTCATCAAACTCTTCCTCTGAATCATCTTTGGACTGAGATGTCAGATTAAAAAAGGCACATCACATTATTCTTTTTTATTAACAATAATTTATCGCGTATTAAATGAGTTAATATTCAAATGCCATTAATTACCATTAACTACAAGCCAGTATACTAAGGAAATTTTAACACTATTTCTGTTTTGGACCTGAAGTATCTTAGCCCAGATGTCCTGAAAAGCCAATAAGTTGAAAAATTTTAGGAACAGAGTAGGAAAGTACTGAAAAAAATTACCTTTCTAAATGCATGGATTCCAGAGAGCTCTTCATCAAGGAGGTCATCATCACTGGTAAAAGATGTAAGATCATGGCAATACTAATACAGTTACAATATATCAAAACACTCATCTGTATTAAAATGTATACAAACTCTACACAATGCCCTTGATTTTTACATCAATTTTTGTTTCATTTTATTTATATACAGGGCTTGACACTAACTTTTTTCGATACTGGCCCGAGATGTCGGTAAATATTGCAAAGATGATTTGACACATGACATTTTACTTGCTCTTTGGGCCAGTGACCCCAGTAATTCAATGGCCCTAGGTTGGTTTTCAGTTGCCCAGGCTTAATGCCAAGCCCTGTTATAATAATTATTTTCATAGTGCAAAAAGAAAGAATACATAAAAATAAAGCACAAAGTAATGCATTAAAGTGCTGAATTATAATACAATTAAATACAAAATCATCACATATTATTTAATGTTTTTAATAAATAAATCCAACATATCATGAAAATAAACTCAGATTTACTGTACAGTATTTGTGACTAAAAGTGATTCCTACCTGTCCCATGAGGACTCTGTGGGCCTCTTTCTTGGCATCTCCCAATGTTACTGGATGCCACAACAATAATGTCGCCGAGTCCAGCACCATCCAACAGAGTAAGCAGTCTCTGCAATGTAAAATATAAAGTTGATACTAGTAACTTAAAACTTGATTTTGGATGATACCCGTAAATTCCTTGGTTCTTTTAATTAGCAGTACAGAAAAACTGCTCATTCAAACAATATATTTCAAGACTGAAATCCAAACTCACACCTGCCAAGTTTTAAGTACAGCATACTAATGCTTACCTAAATATATCAAAAGAGTGAAAAAAAAATCAACTTACTAGTACTACATAAATGTCTGTTTGTATACTCTTATACCAAATCAATAACTAAGTATATACATGTATCAGAATGCAGCACTGGCCTGCCTGTGACCTGCAACCACTGAGACAACTCATTTGACAACCTATGCCAAAATCTCTCTTCTCCACCTACAACTTTTTTTAAATGTAAAATACAGATCATTCGTGATCTTATGCAACAAACCCCATGAAAATTGATAAGGGCGAAGTATTTTAAGGCAGCACAAAATGCACTCAGTGGTCACAGCTTTATGGCTGAAATGTGAGGTCCCATTTACCCTTACTAGTATATGGCTATTTAAAAACTGGGATATTTCCCTTACTTTTAGATATAATTTCAAAATTCCAAAAGTAAAAGATTCTGGATAAAAAGACCTCTCAAAATATATAGCTTGTGTTAATATCTGGCACATTCTGATTTTACACTTGATATGCATAGAACAACAATGGGGAAATTCCGTACTTTTTTTGTAGAAAGGTTACAAACAAAAATGATAATTTTTTGCATAGCGTTGAACAAATTTCAACCAACTTTCCAAAACCTGTTCTGGACTTAACTCGGCAGTGACGTTAACTATGAATGAAATCGCCCAAACCTGACTCTAAAATAGAGCCAGAGTATTTATAAATCATGGCCGATTCTTTTGATGAGAACATACTAGTAAATTCACTACGGCAGTTAAGGGTTTCCTTACCTTCGTACTTTGCTAAATTTTACATGAAAACATCTTCGGGTTCATCTTCTGTTCCATGCATTCTACAAAATGGTTCGTTTTACAAGTAAACACTGCGCAAAGCAAAATTTAAAGTCACTGGTTAGAAAGCTTTTATGTTTTCGGCGGACACTTGTTTTGTTTATTACTCGATAGATGGCGAAATGTGCTAAGAGAAGCCACAGCGCAGCCCAAATAATATTTTCTTGTGTCATATTGCCCTAGCTATATTATAGCTCTATCTTATTTAGAGCAACGGCTTTGCCATTACTCAATGAATTACATACATACTTACTGTACAAACTGTCTAGATCAAAATTTTGCTACGAATAATGATAACAATAATGCTGATATCACTGATTGTGCTGAGCCCTGCGAGAGTTCTTCTCTATCGCAATGAAAATCTGCAGTTCCAAGATATTATTAAATGCATCTTTCAAACGATAATCATTTACATACCGATATGTTATTTTATTATTCTTAATCAAAAGATCTCTTACCTTATTTACTCGTACTTAAATGCGTCATCTATGTTCTTTATTGTAGTATATCCCTTTATTTACTTACTCAATACTGAACATTACTGAACCACACGTAGGCTACTTCCACTTATAATATTATAGGCCTACACACAGTAGGCCTATCAAATTGCCAGTGGTACCCCCTCCCTCTTCCGCTTATTTCCTCCCCAGGGTAAGACTCCTATATACATGTACATGTATTATATCATCTAGGTTCTATCCAAAAAACAACAGTGATTAATTTTTTTTTTACCTGAACATCCTTAATTCACACAACCCTCGCCCAACTCAATACACGCGAGCTAACCTTGAAACCATCAACTCCCACTTTTGGAACATCGACTGTTGTCGACGTGCACGTTTCATGTTACTCTGTTGGTGCATTATAGTGTCTTAAAGTGGTTCATATACAATGTGTGGGCGGACTGTCGATCAACACCAGGCACAGCAAAAGTGAAATGTTCACGTCTACCTGGTTTAATTCGGACAAAGCCGTACGTTGTTCCTGCTCAAATATACTTAACTGCTGCGTACCACTATTCTTTCAAAACGTATTTGCTTCGATCTCAAGTTCCAGTTACATCGGTGTGACGTGACAGAGAGTTCCCCATGATAAAGTGTCTGGTTTCCGTTAATTTGCACAGGCAAACCTTGCCCTAGATTGTGACTACCCTCTCTGGCAGGGTTGCATTTTTTTTTTTAAAATATATAAATTATAAAAATGTAAAAATATATAAATTTTTAAAAATTAAAATTTATATAGGGGAAAAATGAAAAAGCCAGTGAGCCAAATGACTGTCTATTTAGCTAGAGACATATCAGTGAATATCTGTGAAAAATCAATTTGTCGCTCTGGTAGAGGGTAGATTGCGACTCGCTTACGTCAGGCTAACCTGTAGCCTATAATTTAAATGAAGGGTAGATTCTCTGTTACACGGACCCTCAGTTTCGTCACACCAGCTTTCTTAGGGTGCTTTCCCAGAGATTTAGATCGACCTAACTCCCTGGGGGTTCACGCTCAATTGCAGTCAGCCGAGCGGGCACCATAGTTAATTACCCCCTTACAGCTTTTAGTAGGCGGGACAGACGCTTAAGCCGGCCAAGCTGACAGTAATCTAGTGAGACTACCCACAGGGATAGATCGATCTAAAAATCTATGGAAATGGGGTGTAAGACAAACTCTCAAATACGGGCTTAATGGCAAGATTTGTTTAAAAACCCCTCCCCACCATACTTAAGTAAGTAGCAGGTTAAGGAAAGTGTCTTGACATATCCTCCAAAGGGTTTCAATACCCTTTTCATGATGGCCAATCAGGTTTACCCAGGGCTGGTCGATAGGAAGTCTCCATTATTCGTTTAGACAAGAACGAAAAAACAGTAGCACAAAGGTAAAAAGCAGGATTCTGTCAAACATATGACGGGGGTCAACAAAACTCCATTTGTATACTCGTTAACAAAAGATGCACGCACAAGGAAGACGATCTGAGTCATAATAAATGGCAATTGGACGATTGAGTGCTTTACGAGTTCTTCGTAACGAGGAAGTGACTAAACAGAAAAGGTTGCGAATACAGAATTAAATCAACAATAGTAGCACAATATTTTCACTAATGACCTCTAGTGTCACGAAAGTCTACCAGTAGTATTAGTGTTTCTGAGATGTTTTATTTCCTCCGATAATGTCATCCTATTTCAAACAATATCTACAAAAAGGCTTAGTGGAGTAAATGTAATTAACTTGCATTAACATATATAGGAAAGAGTGATTCCGACAATAAACCATGTTTAACAAACACTTTTGCTTCCGGAATATAACAGAGACCGGTATAAGGACAACTGTATCTTTACTCAAATGTTTTCCTAAATATAGATAGTCCTAGATAGGCCTAAATATAGATAGTTTTTTTACTTAAAATTTAACATGCAGCCTGCTTGGATTCAACAGTGATCAATTTACAGTACTTATTGTGTATTTTTACGTTGCTTGCAGATTTCAGAATATGAGAATATACAGGTTTAAACAAATATTTGTCATATATTTTACATCTGGACTTAATCACTGGTATTTTCTTCTTCCCATGTTTATCTTAAACCAATGCTATCTGTTTCCAAATCTGTAAAGCAAAGGGCTTTAAGCAGGAAAATCCTGTTTAACATAACTTTAACATATAACTGTGTACCTATAACTAAAAGAAGCTGATATATGCATACACCCGCCCGTATAGTCCCCACTCTCCACTACCAGGGATAAAAAAGAGATGTAACGAAGCGTCAGATTCTAGTGTTTGAAATAATTAATGGAAGCTGACGATACCCGTGACAAATTTGGCGAAATGGAAACGAAATTGAACAGATCATTAAAATTTATCCAATATAATGTACAGCCCCATTTATCCGACTTCCTACTATCACGCATATGCATTACTATGTTGACGGTGGTCACGATGCATACATATGAACACAAATGCAAATAATACAGATGTAAAATCTGATACACAACGAAAATACACCATTCATAGTTTTTCATATATCAGACAATCCCAAGGGTATTGTTTCTTTCTTTTTACATTTTTCTGCAGAATCTGTCGGATAAAATATGTGACTGTTACAGCATCTCAGTGTCGTCATCTTCGCCATTTAGGACAAGGTGATTATTTATGTCAAGAATGGCATCCTTGAGACGTTTCCAAAACAAACGTTGTCCTGTTTGACTGTCTGTCCACTTTATATAGCCTCTTGCCTTAATGAATTTCCGAAGCGATTTCGTCATGGTATCAAACGGCACCGTTTGAAACATGACTGGTATCACTGTGTTGTACCCACGAGCCAATGACATTTGAAACTCAAATTCACACCACGAGTTAAGCACGAAGTTTTCTGATAGAACGAGAACTGTCTTCCTGCTGTTATCTACAGCTTCGACGATAGCTTCAGCAAGAGATGCTCCACCGATGAAATCCCTCTGATCTATAATGACGTCAAGCTCGTTCTCGTCTTCTAAATGACGTAAAAGTCTATTCACTACCCACTGATAATCACCGTCATCGTATGAAATGTACACGTGACCGGGCGGGGTTGTAATAAATCCTTGTCTACGTAACCGACGTCGCAGCAGGTATAGTCGATATCTAAAATATGACTTATTTATTTAGAAATTGCGAAATAACATTAGCTTTAATTAGGACACCTTTTACATATAATTTTCATTAAGAAACCGCAGCCGCAGTCGTCCTCGAAAAAAAGTGGTGTATTATAATTCATTCTTAATGACATTTAGGGGGTGACGTGGACACAGAACTGGTGTTTTCTTCTTTTTTGAGACTCATTAAAGATTTAAAATTCCACTCAGCTATGTACTATCTGTAACTCAAAGCAGTGTAAATGATCCATTTTGGCGTAAATCAGACCCCCTCTCTCTTTCCATACATATAAGATATAGAATAATACATACTTAATATTCCAGCGATAAATGTACGCCACTATCAAACCGCACGTCACCCCAGCCATATTGGTCAGGGATATCCCGAGGGACAGCCACTGATTTTGAGCTTTAGTTGTTTGACTGCCAACATCACATTTCTCTCGCAGTCCATTCAGTGTAGTCTGCAGACTCGTTTTTGAACCATTCATAGGGCAATCGGAGTTGTTGGAAAATGTCACAGTAATATTGGAAAAAATTAGCCATTTAAAAAATTCCTTCCCATCGCAACGGGTGCAGTTCACAGCGTTGTTGTTCAAATCAATGGTAAAGCTTGAATTTAACTTCCCTATAGTTTCCAATTCTTCTGATGAAAATGCCTGTAGTTTGTTGTTGCTGAGATCTATGTATTCCACAGACACAAAGCTTATCATACTGAACGACACCGTATTAAGGCGGTTGCCGCTTAACACAAGCCGTTGAAGGGAGACAAGGTGTTCGAAAAAGTTCTTAGGGATGGTCCTGATCTCATTCACTGATAAGTCCAAAAACTCTAAGCGCGGAAGTTTCACTGGATGTATTCCACCCTCACCTATTAAAGGTCCTAGTTTGTTGTCGCCAACATTTAAGGACCGCAACGATGGAAAGTGGCCGTTGCAAAAATCTCTTGGAAGACAACTGAGAATATTATGGGAAGCATCAAAATGCTCCAGATTGTCCAATCCATATACCACATGAGAGATTGACTTTGAACCAGTGCCTTCAACCCTTAGAAAGCGAAGCTTATTTGGATAAAAATATATACTTCCCGGTAAGGTGCAATCAGTTGTACCTTTATCGTCCAGCACAAACCACCAACTCATCGATAAGAATTCCAAAGAAGCAGGAAGAAAATATTTTGCAATTGGTGAAGGCAAATCCTTTTCATTTAAAGACCCGGCAATGCCTTTCTTAAGCTTGAATGATGGATGGCCTTTCCAAAAAGAATGCGTCAATTTACATCTTGGAGGGTTCTTATTTTTGTTCCTCAAGTTATTGTCGATTCTCGCGTACTTTAAGTTCCTTAATAATGCAAATATTTTAATAAATTTAGCCGAGGAACTGTTTACCCCATAGTTGTCCTTTCCATTTACTGGGAAAAAGATCATGACATTATTAGACAGGTCGAGATACTCCAAATTCGGAAAGTAATGCAAGT